AAGAGAAACAGCATACATATTTTCCATGTTGAAAAGTTGTACTGAGTGTTTGCCACAGGGGTCAACTGCTCACTGCTTTTGTTAATAACTGGGATGAAAGGTAATTCAGAAAGTTGTGTACAGTTCATGATGCTACAGAGGGACACAAAAACATTGAGTGAGAGGGCAAAGATCTGGCAAATAGACATCAATGTGAGAAAGTGTGATATTGTCCTCTTTAGCAAGAAGAATAAAAATAAGCATTTTATCTCAAATGGTGAGAGATTACTATTCACTAGTGACCAAAAACTGACCTTGTCAAGTCATAGAAATACTCTGAATACAAGAGGTCGTCAAAGGTTAGGAATACTATGGCAAGTAACTCATCTCCTGACTCTTCAAACCCTGCCCACAATCAAAAAGGTACAAGTCAGGTGTGTGATGGAATACTGATGGAATACTTCAGTTACCTAGATCGATGTAGCCTTATGAAGCGCATCACCATCCAGGACAAAGCAACCTGTTTGAATTCACACAACAACAAGGGATTCAAGGAGGAAGGGAGACAGGGAGACAAAAAACCCAGCTAACTATAGGTCATTTATGATAGATTCTAATATTTTCCTCATAATAGAAGTTATTACAAAGGGTGTAATTCAGTTGCCATGTTGGCTGAGGTTACCATGAAGTTTTCACATTCACGAGGTTGATACAAATATGGTAGTATTTTCTCATGAGGAGTTGAGTTTGATGGGCTAGTGCTCATTAGAATTTAAAGACTGAATGAAGATCTTAATGAAAAATAAAAAGATCATTAGGGAGGTTCTCAAAATAGCTGCAGGAATGTTGTTTACTCTCGGGGAATAGCCTATTACCAGAGGACATATTCTCAGTGACAAGTAAACAGAAACTTAGCAAATAGGAGAAGGGGTAGGCCTTTTGGCCCTTTGTGCCTGCTCTGCCATTCAATAGGATTGTGACTGATCATCCAATTCATCCCTGTTCCTGCAGGGAATTACAATGAAGTGAGGACACAGAAAAGAAGGACACAAATTGGACTGGGACAACACATCCATAATAGCATGAGCCAAACAGAGACATGCCAGGGAATTCCTGGGATTTCAACTGGAACTCTGTCAACAAACACATGGAACTGGACCTGATGTACAACCACTGACAAACAGAATTGGAAATAATGCCAACCACCCCAGCAAACCAAGACATATAAATAACATGGGACAGAACACCAACGCTTCACCAGGGGTGCACTGATGTTACCTAGCAGGGTGATGAAACATCTGCAACCAAACACACCGGCTCAGCGAGCAAATCTACAACCTCAAAGGCGGACTAAGAGCACAATAAAGACGGGGAAAATAAACAAGAGCAAATTAGTGAGGAATAGAAAAACAGACAATAAAAGTTTCTTCAAATATGTAAAAAGAGAAAGTTCAAAGTGAACAAAGGCCCCTGAGAAAATGAACCTTGAGAGTCAGTTATGGAGAGCAAGGAAATGGCAGATGGGTTAGATATTTTACATCAGTGTTTATAGTGGAAGTTACTTTGCACGATACACAAATACGAAAGAACGTGGGGAGGATTTAAGTCCCAACACCATCACTCGGGAAGTAGTATGAGACAAACTAATGACAGAATTATCCCCTGGCCCTGATGACTTGCATTTGAGGATCCTAAAAGATTTTAGCGACACAAAGTGGGTATGCTGGTTGAAATTTAAAAACAAAAGCTGTTACATTCTGGCAAAGTACCATAAGATTGGAAAACTACCAATGTGACACCCATGTTGAGAAAGGAAGGGAGGCAATAAGAGAAGGTAGCAAAACTGTTTACACTGGAGTGGCAAAGGGAAACTGGACAGATGTCCATAAAATTATGAGATGCTAGATAGGGTCATTTCTAAGAATAGTTTTCCCCAGAATTGAACTGTCCAATGCTAAAGGCCATGCATTTAAGGTGAAAGGAGTAAAGTTCAAATGAGATGTGACATACAAGTTTATTTACAGTGTGGTAGGAGCCTGGAATGCACTGCCTTGGTGCAAAAGGTGCATTCAAGGGTCTTTTAAATATCCGTATCAATATACAGGAAATATAGGGATATGGACCAAAAGCAGGCAGAAGGGATTAATTTAGTTTGGTGTCACGGTTGGTGCAACATCATGGGCCGAAGGGCCTGTTTTGGTGTTGTATTCTGTTTTATATTCAATGGTCTAAAAAGCGGGTAACCATGGGCTGATTAGCTTAATATATTCCCGGAAGTGTATTGGAATCAATTATTTCAGAAGGAAGAGCAAAACATTTTCAAAATCATACTCTAAATCAAACAGAGGCAGCATAGCTTTTTGACAATGGAATTTGTGTTTATTGAGAAAGTCTGAACCAGAGCAGAAAGTGAAACCAGAAGGTGTGTTGTATTTGAATTTGAATTTCCAGGAAGCTCTTGACAAGGTAACTCACAAAAGGTTAAGTCATAAGACTAAGATGGAGAGGAATTTCTTCCCTAAGAGGGTTCAGTGCCAAAGGATTTCCTTGCCACAGAGAGCTATGGGGGCAGAGTCCTTGTGTAAATTCAAGGTTGAGATGGGTTATGGGGAAAATCTAAGAAAGTGGACATGACAGATATCAGATCAGCCATGATCCCATTGGATGGTGGAGCAAGATTGAGGCCAAACGGCTTAGTCCTGTTCCTTTTCCTTATGGAATGGAGAGAAATTATTCCGACTCTGCTGATCTGTCTCCTTCTTGAATACATTCAATGTTTTTGCCTCAGCTATTTTCTGTGGCAAACAATTCTACAGGCTCACCAGACAGAGTGAAGAAGTTTATCTTCACCTTAGTCCTAAACCACCTACCTTGTTTCTGGAGTCTATGGTCATTGGGAATATCCTTCCTGCATTTGCCCTGCCTAGTCCAGTTAGAATATTGCAGGATTGAGATTTCTCCCTTATTCTTGTAAACTATCTACATTCATAGGAGAAGTCACATGACAACAGGTTATAGTCCAACAAGACTGAAATTGGAAGCTTGGAGTGCAGCTCCTTCATCAGGTGAAGCACACTTGATGGACCAGTACCTCAAAAGCTTGTCAATTGAAATAAACCTGTTGGACCATAACCTGGTGCTTTGTGGCCTCAGACATTGTCCATCCCACTCCAACACCAATTAATGTAGCTCTAACTGGTTCAGTCCCTTCATTCCTTCAACTCTGCCAAGCCAGAAGTCAGTTTGGTAAATCTTTGCTGCATTCCCTCCATAGCCAGAACATCCTTCCTCAGGAAAGGAGACCAAACCTGTTCACAATACTCCAGGTGTGGTCACTCAGGCCCTGTATATTTACAGCAAGACATCCTCACTTCTGTCCTTCCATACTGAGGGAAAACATACCATTTGTCTTGTTTGCTGCACTTTCATGCAGACACTCAGCAACTGGTGTACAAGGACATACAGGATTCATTGCACCTCCCCTTTTCTCTTTCTGTTGCCATTCAGAATGAAAACAGCAAGACAGAATTCTACAATAATGGATAAACTCATTTATCCATATTAGACTGCCTCTGCCATGTATTTGCTATTCCCCTCACTTCAGTTATTGTTCCCTCCTGTGCCAAACCCCATCTCATCTGAGCCTCCACCTCAACCCATGGCAATTTTCTCCTTTAGCCTTTCTAGTGACCCTTTCATTTCCAACTCCTGGAATCTGAAACCCTCCAAGTTAGGTTTTATCCTTCACTCACTCTACAACCATCCTCAGCAACAATCAATCAGGCAAACACTTACCATGTGCCTTGACCACACACAGCTCTGTCTCTGAATCAGACTGTCTGGTATCCTGTACTGAGAAACACTATTGAGATGACTGCAGAGCTTGCTTTCAGTCCCTTCAGTAAAGGATCATCCAACTGATGAAGTAGTCCCACAGAATGAAACAGAACCCACCAGATGTCAACTTCCACTTCGAGAGGGACCAGCTTCTGTTGGGATCAAAGGTGGTTAGCTCAGCCATGTTAAACAGCATGGCTTTTTGGGGCCATGGATTGACTGGATAATTAAGGAATGTTTGGGCTTGAAGGGAGCACCCTATGTCACAGCTACACAGTGACAGATGCAAAGGCTGTTCAGCCCCACAGAACTGTTGAGTCACCCAGTGAGTTTGACCTGTCATTCCATTTGACAATGCACACAGCCCTCAAAATGGGAGACATCCAGATTCATCTGGCAAGAAAAGTTTTGTCACTGACACCAACTGGTCTGAGGAGCATCAGATGTCTATTCTCAACCTCCCGTTACATCATGGTGCTCATGAGAAACAACTGACCTTCTTAACATTTCCCAGAGGGCCTTTGGATCATTACTTGCATTTGACTAGATTCCAAATCACGTAGTGTCCCCTTCCTTACAGGAAGGGGCAACCAAAGACTGCTCCAGGTTCCACTGCCACAGCCAGAAGTGAAGGATTGTATCCAAACCCATTGCTCCACCTCAATGAGCTGTGACCACAGAATCAGGGTGGCATTGTTAAAGAGACAGACACAAGCAGGTCATGCTCTACTCAACCTCATTTGTTAATCCAGAGTCCTGAGGGGAACCAGACAGCTCACCATGTCTTGTGGGTGAAGTGGCAGACCCAGATTTATGTTCCCTTGTGGGAATTGTTCATTGATGCACTCAGGGGGAATGCATAGCATTGGCCCTTGTTCACAAAATTGGGAGATCAGTCACAACAGTTAATACGAGCTTTCCCAAAATAGTGAAGTGAACTGGTCCAAATAATAGGTCATGTACAAAATGGTTTGCATTTGCAGAGTGAAGAAGCAAAACAGAGGCAGAAAGCTCCAGCTCCAGGGGAGAAAGGAGACAGTGGTAGTCAACCCAATAAAGCCAAACATAAATCCTGCAGTGACGAGTGCCAGTTACATTCCATGAAGATGCAGAGACAAAAAACTAGAAGACAGACAAGCAGCTCCAATACAAGATACAATGAACCTGCTTTATTGGTCATTGCCTTTCCTGTTGACTGGAGTTTGCTTGTGGTTCCTGTACAGGAACCAGGCCATCAATGAAGCAGAGATCAGAGAGACAGCTGTCACTGTCAGGGCCACCATCACAACCAGCTCAGACTGCACACCTACACAACAAAGAGAAACCAATGGTTACTGAGGGAAACAGGGACAAAGAGGGAAACTAGCAGTCAGACAACTCACCTCCTGGAGACCTCTCCTGCATCCTTTGCTCAACCTCAGTCAGGGGCTCAGTTGCCAGGTTGGTCAGCTCAGGATCCAGAATGAGCAGGGGGCCAAGGGAGGCCTCACTCTCCCACTTCAATCCAGCTTCACTCTGCAAGAAACATTGCAGTCAGGGTCAGGGAAAGGAGGGTCTAGCCCCAACATCTCATGGGTCAGTAACCTACCAGCTTCAGGTCCAAGGTCTCTCCTTCCTCGGGAAGGAAACACGATCTCCCTTGTGCTACCACAGTTACCCACATGACAACAGGCACAAATGTCAGAATTCGATTCCTCAAGTGGAGTCCAGCTAAACAGGAGAAACAGCCCATCAACCACATGGTGCATCACCTCTCCTCAACAACATCACTAAGGGACACTTACATCTTGTGCAGCTTCTGGAAAGTACAAGCTTTGTTCCTGGAATCTCCCTGATCCACTGCAGCAACTTTCAGGTGACAGGTGATAAAATCTGAGGGACACATTCAGCACAAGTCAGTGTTTAGTGACTCCCACCCAGTGGGGAGAAGCCAATCAGCAGCTTCCTCTTACCAAGGAACGCTCATCTCCATAGAAGCGGAAGGCATCCAGGTCAAACTGGAGCTTGTCCAGCTCCCGCTCGTCTCTCGGCAACACAAAGGTTGAAAAGGAGTCCTCGGCTTTGCTGTCCACGAGGCAACTGCAGGTGAACAGAGGGCCATGAAGTGAATGGAGTGAAGCCATTGAGATGGGAGCAGCTGGAGAAAGCAGACAGCTCCTTACCCATTGTAGGCAATGATGCTGTATCTGGGGCTGGAGTCCTTGTCTGGGCTCAGTGTA